TGCATCAATTGGTCCCAACCACCTGGAGTAAAGGAGAATGAAGAACACCAAAGACACAAGGAAAGTATTAGCCCAAGAGACAGAAAGGGTCACATAAGCCAGAGACTTCATCAGCCTGAGACCAAAATACTAGATGGTGCCAGGCTACCACCAATGACAACCCTGACAGGGAAGATAACAGAGTCCCTGATGGAGGAGAAAGGTGGGACACAGAACTCAAATTCCAGTAAAAAGACCAGAGTTAATGGTCTGACTGAGACTGGGGGAACTCCGGAAAGCACGACCCCCAGATTCTCTATCAGCCCAGAACTAAAACAATTTCTGAGGCCAACTCTTCAGACAAAGATTGGACTGGACTGTGGGACATAAAATGATACTTGTGAAGAGTGTGCTTCTTAGCTCAAGTAGATACATGAGGCTAAACGGGCAGCTTCTGTCCAGAGATGAGATGAGAAGGCAGAGAGTGGTTAGGAGCTGGTTGAATGGACACGGGAAATCAGGAGTGGAAAGGATAGCAATTAGGGTCACATAACAATGTATGTATAAATTTTTGTATAAGAGACTAACTTGAAATGTAAATTTTCACTTAACTACAACAATAAACCAAAAAAAAAAAAAAAAGATTCAGATTTGAACTGACAGTAGGAGAGAATTCCAAGCTAAGAAAACGATAAAAACAGAAGTCTAGACTAGAGTTAGGACAGCATGATGTGTGTTCTGGTAATCCAGATTAGTTCACTAGAACATTGAGAGTTATATTTGGGAATATTAAGAGAAAATTTAGGTTTCCAGATTGGAGACTACATTGCAGAAGAGCCTGCAGTTTATTCTGAATACAATAGGGAACATTTAGAGTTTGTGAATAAAGAGTGTTTTAAGATAATCTGGTGTTCTTGATGGAGTGAGGTAGGGAGGAGATAGAGTTTGGAGACAAGAGTGTTATGGATTGAACTGTGTCCCCTAAAATATAAACTGAACCTCTGTACCTTTGGATGTGATCCTGTTTGGAAATAAGGTTTTCCTTTATTATGTTAATGAGATCATGCCAGAGTAGGGTGTGTCCTAAATCTAATCATTTCTGAATTATAAAAAGAGCAAAATAGACAAAGAAACACACAGGCGGAAGATAGATATCAAGGAACATCAAGGAATGCCAAGGATCGCTGGCAGACACTAGAAACCAGGAGAGAGGCTCACAAAAGAAATCAACACAGCCAAGAGGCTGATTTGGACTTTCAGCCTCCAGAACTGTGAAAAAATAAATTTCTGTTCCTTAAGGCCCACCCCCCCCCAAAAAAAAATGGTGCTAGGAAAACTGGATCTGCATACCCAAAAGGGAACCCTGGTGGCGCAGTGGTTAAGAGCTCAGCTGCTAACCAAAAGGTCAGCAGTTTGAACCACCAGCCACTCCTTGGAAACCCTATGGGGCAGTTCTACTCAGTCCTATAGGGTCACTATTAGTTGGAATTGACTTGACAACAATGGGTTTGGTATATGTTTTTATATTGCAAAAGAATGAGGTTGGACCCTTACCTTACACCATACACAAAAATTAACTCAAAATAGTTCAAAGACCCAAATTTAAGAACTAAAACTATAAAACTCTTGAAAGAAAACATAAGTGAAAATCTTTGTGACTTTGGATTAGGCAATGATTTCTTAAGTATGACACCAAAAGCATAGGCAATAAACCAATAACAAAAAAATAGATGAATTAGATTTCATCAAAATTAAAAACTTTTGTACATCAAAGGACACTGACAAGAGTGTGAAAAGGCAACCCACAGAATGGGAGAAAATATTTGCAAATCACTTATCTCATAAGGGATTAATATTCAGAATATATAAAAAACTCTTAGAAGTCAACAACAACAACAAAAACTCAATTAAAATAATGGGCAAAGAATCTGAATTGACATTTCTCCAAAGATACACAAATGGCCAATAAACACATAAAAAGAGGCTCAACATCATTAGTCATTAGGAAATATGAATCAAAACCACAATGAGATACTACTTCATACCCATCACTATGGCTATTATTGGGAAAAAAAAGTGTGGGCGTTGGCGAGGATGTGGAGAAATTGGAACGCTCGTCCACTGCTGGTGGGAATGTAAAATAGTGCAGCTGCTGTGGAAAAGAGTTTGGTGGTTCCTCAAAAAGTTGCACATAGAATTACCATATGATCCACAACTTCACTCCTAGGTATATACCCAAAAGAATTAAAAGCAGGGACTCAAACAGACACTTGTATACCCATGTTCTAAGCAGCGTTATTCATAACAACCAAAAGATGGAAACAACGCAAGCGTTCTTAACAGATAAATGGATAAACAAAATGTGGTACATACATACAATGAAATATTATTCAGCCATAAAAAGGAATGAAATTCTGATATAAGTTATGACATAGATAGATGAAAACATTATGCTAAGTGAAATAAGCCAAACACAAAAGGTTAAAATGGTAAATTTTATATTATATTTTATCACACACAAACAAAAAGTTATACCAGGTGTAGGTAGGGGGATGAGGCAGGCCACTGGATGACCCAGCCTAGACTTCTCAGTCCATGGTCCTGTGGCACTGTTGTTGAGGGGCAGCTGAAGAATCTCCAATTCTGAACTCCACGTCCCCAGAGTCCTCCCAGGGCTTTCCCTCTGCCTCTCTCATGCAGAGTGAAAAGTTGTTCCATGTTCTGCTGAGACGACAGGGGTAAGAACAAGAAGGTCTTGTGATGCTTCACTGTGGCAACATCACTCTTCACTCTTTGCTATTCCAGTACCCAAGATCAACTCAAAATAATCCAAAGGAGAAAGTCAAAGGCTTGGAATTTCCATCTGCAGCAACATAGACCAACTTAGCCTCTTGACATTAACTTACCATGAGAAGGCCCCTCCAGGGGACCTGGGGAACCCAGGTCATCATCCGTGCCTCAATCATGTTGGAGTCTGCATCAATGATCTCTGGATCCAAGGCAGCATCCCCTAATGATGAGGAGGCCATAGAGCAGGAGGTCACTAAAGTATTTGATCCCAACATTACCTCCTCTTTCTTCAGGCTGACATCAATGAGAATAGTTCCCATTAATCAGGTAGGAACGGCCCATTTATTCACACCACACTTGTCTCAAAAAAGGACCTCAGTGTTCCTAGAGGAGTCAAAATGAAAAACATCTTAAAAGTCTACAACAGCCCTTTTCAGGGCAAATAGAGTAGATGCAGTAACTGGCAGAGAGACAGCTTGAGAGCTCGCTCTCAGGGGCACCTCACACTGAGGCCCCACCACACCCTGCTAGGAGTGAAGGACCACCTTCTCAGAAGCCACACTGTCATCACTTGCCTGCATACCTAAGTTTCCGGTGAGACTATGAACTCCCTGAGCCTTTAAGTCCTCCTCATGTTGTTCTCCTTTCCTGAAGCACTTTCCTATTCCCCATGACAGTCCATTCTGTCAAAAGCCCACCCAGGTTCACTACCTCCAAAAAGGCTACCTCTCTTTGAAAATCTTATGGCAATCACTAGATACCACCCAACATCACACTTATTTGTTACATATAATTCATCTTGGTTCCTTAAACAGACATTACATCATATAAATAGGACAAATGCTCTAGAATCTTCAGCCACCCCTCAAAGTTTCTAAACCTCGACACAGACATAGCTTCGTCTCTCGCTAAGCTATAAAGCACCTGTCACTGACTCTCAGACAGTGGCCCACAATGCCCCTGAGGTTGGCAGGTGTTGGCAGGAGAGAAGCAGAAATGTGTGAAAGCGCCAGCATTTGAAAGGGATAGGTATGGACCCTCCAAACACGGGAAACTGCTTTCCACAATTCCTCTCCCTACATTATCGATGACCAGGGCACGGGCAGCCCATGATCGCTTTTTAATGCAGGTACATACAAGGGCAGAGAGATGCAGGAAGGGAAGCAGATGCCAGTGGCCTGTGGAACAGGTTGGTTAGGGAGAACAACACAGTCAAGCACAGGACCCTAGCAGCTGCCATTCTTTCGCGTGAAAGCCCCGTAAAACCTCCATGCCAAAAGGAGTCACAGAAAAGTCACTCTGGGCAAAAACACTGAAATATATTAGGGTTGGAGAACATAGGAATTATGTAGTCCTAAAATCATCAAAAGTCATTTCCAAACATGGATAGAGCTTGAAGATATTATGCTGAGTGAAATAAGTCAGTAACAGAAAGACAAATATTGTATGAACTCACTTATCTAAAAGGACAAGAAAAGGCAAATGTATAGAGATCAAAGTTTATTAGTGTTTACCAGGAGCGGGAGGGAGAGGAAAAGGGGGGATTAACAGTGATGGAAAAATCACATTGATTAAGGGTACGGTTGCACAACCAATTATTGTAATTGCTGTCAATGAGTTATATACCTGTAAAAAGCTGACTGGCAAAAGTTGTGATAAATATATTTACAAAATGACCAATAAAAAAAAAAGAGTAGCTCCTGACGCTGCTTATGTACAACCAAACACCTCATGGGATTTGGTTCCTTAGTTTAGAGGTTTAGGGTCATGGTTTCATGGGACATCCCAATTAACTGGCCTAATAACGTGTTTAGCGCTTCTGTTCTACTTCCTGGTTTGTTGCGTAGTGCCTGGGGTCTTAAAAGTTTGCAAGTCGCTATCCAAGGCACACGTGGACCCCAGGCTTCCTGAAGCCAAGGGGGCTGGATGAACCCCTGAAACTACTGCCCTGAAATAATCTTTAAAACTTAAACCAAAAATATCCCTCAAAATCTTCTTAAAAACAAACAACAGTTTAGGTTAACTAGTAAAAAACGTCTGCCTTGAGCATTACGCTCTTTAAGAACTATCTATATGGGATCAAAGTGACAACAGCAACTTGAAAGATTAGATCAGAAGCTTAGGGGTCAGTGAGTTTATGTTAATGGGAGAGGAACAACTCAGAAAAGGAGGGTGAGAGTGGCTGCACAACTCGAAGGATGTAATCGACGTCACTGAATTGTGTATGTGGAAACTGTTGGAATTGGTGTATGTTTTGCTGTGTATATTCTCAACAATGACAAAGTAAAATTTTTTAAAACTGGAAAAAAAAAAAAATCATCTCCATCACAGCTTTGTTTCTCAGATGAAGAAAATGAGGTTCTGAATAGGTCACTGAGTGACACAGTGGCAGAGGGGAAATTCAGACCCAGGGATGCCATTGCTGCCAACACTCCCATATTAGGAAGGGAGGGTGCAATGCCCCAGAGCTCTCTTTACCCACGCAGGTCCCTGGAGGCCCCTAGTCTGCAGCAGCTGCCGAAGGCATGTGAGGGGCCAGGTGTAATTTAGGTTGCCTGGGGTTGGGGGCGGGCAGATCTGGGGACCCATGGATGCTACTCCATCTCACCTCTCAGCGTCCTTACATCACACAAAGCCCATGCATATGACTGCCAGATGCAAGGAACCAACACTCCAGAAAATGAATCAGAGATCTTACCTCAGTGTTCTTGACATAATGACAACTCCCATGGAGCCCCTGCACACCACGGACTCATCTGCAACAGACAAGAAGCTGCGAATGAGCAGCAGACCAGTCCCTGCTAACAGAGCATGGTAGGCACTGGGAAAGAACTTAGCACAGTATTTACCAGATCCACAGATGCTGGCTGTTATTATGTCTACAGTATTTTCTCATGAAAAAAAAAAAACGTAGTTTAACTCTAAAGAGGGAGGCGGAGGATGGTCTGTGGCAGCGTGGTCAACTTCAATCAATGTGTAGTTACTCCAGGATGGCTTAAAAGGGATGCTGAGGCTGGAGGTTTTGCGCATGTGCCGTGACTGACCAGCAGAGACTAGTGTGGACCTGGAGGGATGCTGGGGGCACGAGGGCCACAGTTCTGCTACTTGCTGCTACATAAGGGCGGCGTTCATACAGCCTTTGGTTATATTCTGCTCTGTTCACCTCTTTATTGCTCTTAATCAAAGGCCAGAGAGAAAAATCTTCCCCTGGTGCACCGGACCCATGCCAAGCACCTTCCCATGGCCGGACTCAGGGCAGGCTCTAATCAATTAGAACACTTCCAAGGGGAGAAAAAACAGAGGAAGCTTTCTCTCCCCTGGGTGCTCTTGCTTGCTCAAGAGTAGTTTCCCCTGACGCCATAAAATGCGACAAACTCTGTTCCTCACAATCATGGATCTGTCTCTCTCTTTTCTTTCCTGATTGTTCCTCTCTCGTTATTGAGCGCCGACTAGCTGCCAGACACAGCTCTGGGGATCACAGGAGTGAGGGAGACAAGCACATCAGTCTTTATAATAAGGTATGAAAGGGCCAGAAGGATGTGAGAAGGGAGAGGGTGGGGTTCCAGGGCAGACTTCCAGGAGTGGAGGCCTGACTGAGGGCTGAACCCTCTTCCGGCTCCACAAGTGGCCTCTGAGCTCCCTGAGGCAGGACCTATGCTTCCTCATCATTTAGAAAAGCCTCATAGAAACCTCACGGGCACAAAGAGCACTCAATAACCCAAATGCACCAGGAACCAGAAAGCACCTAACGGGTGGTGAGGAGAAAGATGTGGGAAAGCTCCAGGGTCTGGAAGGGACAGGAATGGACCCTCCAAACACGGGGAAATGCTTTCAGCAATTCCTCTCCCTGCACTATCAGTGACCAGGACACGGGTAGTCCACCATCACTTTCGAATGCAGGAGAGCAGACACTGGTGGGTCAGGGAAGAAGGCCAACAGCAGTGGTCTGGGGAACGTCCCACGTGGGCAGGCAGGCCAAAGATAATAAGCCACTGACACAGAGTCGAAGCCAACTCACAGCGACCCTATAGAACAGAGGAGAACTGCCCCACAGGCTTCCCAAGGCTGTAAATCTTTATGGAAGCAGGCTGCTACATCTTTCTCCCGTGGAGTGGCTGGTGGGTTTTGGTGGGTTCAAATTGCCAACCTTTCAATTTGCAGCCAAGCACTTAACCACTGTGCCACCCGGGCTCCTCCAGACCAAAGACAAGTCAGTGAGAAATTAAGGACATAATGTCCAGCACCTGCCTTTCATTTTGCAACAATTCCCTGCTAGCAGACCTCCTCAGAGACCTACCAGAGCCCAAACCAAGCTCCGGAAACACCTTTTCTGTAGCAGTCCAATGAAGACAGGAAAAGAGGGCCCATACCTGTTCCTGCAGGGGCCCCGGGGGGACACAGCCAGGAGGAGAGGAACGCATCACCACCTGTATTCTCGCTCTCCACATCACATCACCTAAGCACCTCTGGCCTCACAGCCTGCAAAGAGCTCTAGAAAACTAGACAGGATACCACTTACCTGGGACCTCACAATCCACGCTCTCCCTGAGGACACTTCTCACACAAGGAACAGCAGTCACAGATCCTCCTGCAGGGGACAACATGCCACAATATGACTGGTGCTTACAAGTCCAGGAACTCAACATACTCATTACCAGGAAAACACCCAGGAACCACAGTCTTGGGAGTTCAATATACTGACAGCTTCACTTGCATCTCCTTCCCAGCTTCACTCCTCATCTAGTCATTGTCAGAGTCAGATTAGCCTCCATAAGTGGCCTGGAGACCAAGGCTCCAAAGGGAACCAACTAAGGTGAGGACCAAGAGCACAGGTATGAAAGGTGCAAAGAGTGTCTGGTCTGTTTAGTGAACCTATATCACATGGATTGAGTTGTGTCTCCCAAAAATATCTGTCAACTGGCTAGCTCATGATTCCCAGTATTGTGTATGACTGTCTACCATTTTATCATCTGATGTGATTTCCCTATGTGTTGTAAACTCTATCACTATGATGTAATAAGATGGATTAGTGGCAGTTATACTCATGAAGTCTACAAGATTAGATAATGTCTTAAGCCAATCTCTTTTGAGATACAAAAGAGAGAATTGAGCAGAGACACATGGGAACCTCACACCACCAAGAAAGCAGTGCCAGGAGCAGAGCACGTCCTTTGGACCTGAGGTTCCTGCGCAGAGAAGTTCCCAGACCGAGGGAAGATCGATGACACGGAGCCAACAGATAAAGTATTCCTGGAGCTGACACTCTGAATTCAGACTTGTAGCCTACTAAACTGTGAGAGAATAAACTTCTCTTTGTTAAAGCCATCCACTTGTGGTATTTCTGTTATAGCAGCACTAGATGACTAAGACATCCTACTTCCAAGGAAAGCACACAATTGAGTCTGGGAATGAATTCCTATACTTAAAATTAATTCATCTCCACTCCCCTTGAAATGATAGGCCATATTCCTTTCCTCCTCTATCAACAATACTTTGTAGGTTAGGCCAGGGGTCAGCAAACTTTTTCTGTAAAGTGTCAGATTGTAAATATTTTAGGCTTTGCAGGCCATATGGTCTGTACTGCAGCTACTGGAATCTTCCCTTGTAGCAAGAAAGCAACCACAGACTGAATGGCTGTGTTCTAATAAAACTTTATTTACAAAAATAGGCAACCAGGCTTTAGTTTACCAATTTCTGGGTTAGACAATGGGATAGAGCAAAGTGGCTCTGCCCTTTCATGTTCTCTACACACACAAATACACAGACACAGACACACCTCTGCTTCCAGGCCTTTAGCATGTTGTTTTGCTTCCCTAGAACGCCCTCCTACTGCCTCAGCCTATCCAAATCAATAACAAGCCCTGGCCTCACCATTTGAGAAGCCACCTCCCCTCAAATGCTAAGGCAAATACTATATAGGGCACCACCTGGCAACTAATTGTCTTGTTCCTTGTTATTCAGCTTGGTTCTTGAAATAAACTATTACTTCTCTGAGGCAGGGCCCATTTTAAGACGAATATCAGGCTTCCATCTCAGTATCTAACACTCTGCTAGGCACTGAGGGGAACTTAACACACATAACCAGGCTCCCAACAGCAGGGGTGCAGGAAGTGCAAGGCCCAACAATGACATTAAGGCACATACAGCAGCCCCCAAGGTCCTGGAGACTCGAGGTGTGTGGAAGGAGCAGGACTGTAGGAGGCCTCCTGGAACTGGAAGGGAAGGATGTGGACCTTCCAAATATGGGACAACCCTTCCCACATTTCCTGTGCCTGCACTACCAATGACAAGGACACAGGCAGTCCATGATCAGTTATGAATGCAGGAGTAGAAAGCAAACAAGGATCGCCAGGCCTTTCTTCCAAGGTGCAGAGCTGTCAAGCACCTTGAACATCTGTGCCACCCAGGGGCTCCAAATATAGAGTTTTTAGTTTCCCTTTTATGTAATTAGCATTATACTATATGTACTTACTGTTCTACAGTTTATGCATTCTGCACTTAATGGTAAGTTGTAGAGGTATTTCCATAGCTGTATCTACAGCCTCACCTAGAGCCATTCTTTTTATTAGATGTCACTTACGTACATTTTTGAGGTCCCCGGGTGGTGCAAATGGTTTGCACTCGACTGCTAACCTAAAGGTTGGTGATTTGAACCCATCCACCAGCACGGCAGAGGAGAGATCTGGCAATCTGCTTCCGTAAAGATTACAGCCAAGGAAACTCTATGGACCAGTTCTGATCTGTGTAGCACATGGGGTCGCCATGAGTCAGAACTGACTCAATGGCAAAGGGCTGGGGATTTTTAGTATATACATTTTTAAACTACTTCCTTACTGAAGGACATTTAGCTTGTTTCTAGGTTTCTGCTTTTACAAACGATGATACGGTGAACTACGTGGGCTGAAGGCATATATATTTTAAATGCGAGTAATTACTGTTAAAATGCCCTCCAAAATGGCTGTACCTAATTTACACTCTCCCCAGTAGAGGACGGAGGTACATAATCATTTTCCTATACCTAAAAAAAAAAAAAAAAATCTTTTGCCCTTTTGCCAAACCAATGGGCAAGATGTCATTTTAATTTGCATTTCCTTAATAACAAATGAGGTTGAGCTTTTAGTTCATCTGTTCTTTGGCCTCTCAAGTTTATTTTTTTGTAAATTGCTTATTCATATCACTAGCCTATATTTTAATCCAGTTGTCCTTTTATCGGTTTGTTCATTGCATATCATAGATACTGATCTTTTACCTTTTATACGTATATATATATAAAACATAATAAATATTTTCTACCAAAGGAAAAAAAAGGGATTGAAAAGAGAGGTCAAAGGCAGAGGCCTGGAGCAATCAGCCCAACTAAGCAAGGACGAGCAGTTGCTTCTAATTCTACAAAACCCCCTCAACATATCCCAGCCAGGAGAGACAAAGGAAGATACCTCAGAAAGAAAACTGAGCTCTTAGGTTGTAGAAGATAGGGGTATGTGAGCCTAAGAAAAATCATCTCATTGTATTCCTGATTTCTAGATGAGGAAAATGAGGACCAGAGATGGTCCCAAAGCTAGGAAGCCGCAGAAGAGTGATCGAGACTTGCGTGCCTGTGGATTTGATCCTAAAATTTTGTCTGCTTTCAACTCAGTCATTCTGCTGCCAACATACCCATTTGAAGAAAGGTTCCTGAGGGCGTTCAGAACCAAGCAGGCACATATAGAACTACATGCATTCCCAAAAGCCCCAAAAGGGTAAAACTGGGAGCCAAGATGAAGCTGCCCTCATCTCTTCTCTCTAATTCCCAGGCTCAATTATGCCCAGGAACCCACATGCACCCTTGTGGATCCAAAGCTCCAGAGAATAGACCTCACCTTGGGGGCACCCTGGTTCAGCCACTTCCTGACAGGATGGAGACATCTCTCATGCGCCTCCCTACACCCAGCTGCCTCCTCTGCAATAAACAAGAATCCCTAGATGAGCAACCTCGGTGTCACCTAGTCATGACATGTCCTGCTAAGCATATGGAGAGAATATGACACAGTAAAGAATTCCTCAGTAACAAATGCTTCACAAATGTAGGCTGTTGTTATTAATCCACAAGTCACACTACTTTCTCATGAACAAGGAAAGGCGTTTACAACTACAGAGGGGTTGGCAGAGATGGCTTTTTGGTATCATCTTTCATGCAAACTCCGATTAAACTGTAGAAGCTCTAGAAGCTGCATTATGAGCAGGATGTGGAATCCAGGAGAGGTTTGGGAATGTACAGCACCTGACTGCAGTACCTGACGTGGACTGGGAGAGCAATGGGGCAGGAGTGCTTCAGATCTGCCCTGAGAAGGTAAGGCCCAGTCTCTATTTATGCCAGCCTTGTCCAATTTCATTACGACTCTGGTCCCTGCCACCATAAACTGCAGGCCACAAGAAAATCTTCCCCTTGTGAACTGGGACCCATCTCCTGCCAAGGGGTCTCCAATGGTTAACACTGGCCAATGACAAAGAACAATTCCACGCGGAGGGAACACAGAGGAAGCACCCTCACCTCCCACTAACTGGCCTGCTCACAAGTAGTAGTCTTTCCCTGACACTCCACAATGTGACCAGCTATTCCACCGTACAGTGGTGGGGCTTTTTTTTCTCTCTACTTTTTCACTTGCCCTACCGCTGCTAGGCGCTGAACACTGCCAGGCACTGAGCCAGAGAAGAGGCAAGACTCATACACTGTCCAAGGTCACAGTACAGAGAAGCAAAGAGACAAGAAAACCAAAAATTTCACCAGGTACAACTAACGCCCTCAACTTACATCAATCCACTTCTGGGACTGTATCACCCCCAGGAACCCTACATGACCAAGGGTCTGGGAAGGGGAGGTGGGGGAGGCAGAGATGACTTCCTGCAGAGGAATAACCCACACTGGAGCTCCACACCAGCCCCTAAGCTCATTGAGACAGTGCCCTGCTTCCTACGCCTTTCTCAAAGCCTCACAGAAACCAGCCCTGAGCCACACAGAGCACTCAACAATCCAGATGCACCAGGAGGTATCTAAAGGTGGCAGGAGGGAGGGTGTGAGGGAGAGTTCCAGGGTTTTGAAGGGACAGGGGATAGGGGTGGACCTCCAAGCACAAGAAGCACTTCAGCAATTCCTCTCTCTGAACTATCAATGACCAGGATCACCCAGGGTCACGTTCACAGGCAGGAGCAAAAATGGGCAGAAAGTGAGACAGGAAGAGGCCTATGTCAGTGGCCTGCTGACCACCCAAGCAGGGGGAAGCAGCCCAGCCGAGTCTAGGACTTGAGGGCTCCCACTGCACATATAAAGTTTCCAACTCCCCCCACTGAGAGAGACCACAGGGAGGCCAACGTCTGACAAGAATGCCTAAATTGTTCATTCATCCCCACAAACATTTATTGTGTACCTACTATGTGCCAGGAAGCCCTGGTGGCACAATGGTTAAGAGCTCAGCTGCTAACACAAGGTGGGTGGTTCAAACCCACCTGCAGCTCCTTGGAGAAAAGACCTGGCGATCTGCCCCTGTAAAGATTACGGCCTAGGAAACCCTATGGGGAAGTTCTACCCTGTCCTATAGAGTCACTATGGATAGGAATGGACTCGACGGCACACAACTATGTGCCAGGCACTGTGGATTCAACATCAAAGAAAAATACAAACAAGATCTCTGCCCTCACAGAACTTTTACAGTTTCACCACTTCACAGAAACTGAAGCTCAGGAGGATGAAGTAACTTGCCCAAAGTTACACAGCTAATGATGGCTGAGCCGGCATTTGAACTTGGGTCTTTCTAGCCAGCAAATCCAGCCCCCATCTACAGACTTCTACCTATAATGTCACACAAGGGCTTTGTCAGTCATGACTACCCAGTCTGCCTGTGCCTGACAGGAAGGTAGCAAGCCCCTTCAGAAATTCACTTATGCAGGGGACATCCTCACCACAGGGAGAATGGAATGCATCTAAGAGTGTGGATCAGGTCCTGTCAGAAAGGAGGTATTGGCTCATGCAGAACCAGGAAAGCCACCCAGGGGAGAGTTTTCATCTGTCTCCAACAGACCTTCATAGTCCCAAGTGGTCTAGGCAAGGAAAAAAGCAAGGGGAAGGCGTCTTAGTGCAAAACAATGGGACAGAAATCCAGACTCTGTCCCTCTGGGGCTTTGGGAGCACACTGAATTTAAACTTCAGCCAACTGGTCTGTAAAATGGACATTTTAACAACTTACTGTAAGGATTATTTAGGGGAAAATGAGCTAACAGGTGTAAGGACATGGCACAATTCCCAACAGTTAGCAGGCAACCAACAAGTGGCTTTGGGGGCTTAAAATGCCAGGAGTGGAGGTCTGAAGCTGTCATGGAACTCAGTTCAGTGGTAGAATCTTCACCTTCCCTGCGGGAGATGTGGGTTCCATTCCTGACAAGGCCAACGTACTTCATCCACAGCCACCACCCCCCTGTCTGTAGAGGCCTGCGTGTTGTTATGATGCTGAACAGGTAGCGGTGAAGCTTCCAGACTAAGACAGACTAGAAAGAAAGGCCTGGTGACCTACTTCCCAAAATCAGAGAAGAAAACCCTATGGATTACAATAGCTTGATCCAAAACTGATCATGGGGATAGTGCAGGTCCTTTAGTAACGGTGTGCATGGAGTCGCCACGAGTCAGGGTGACTCCACGGCAGCTAACAACAACGACAACAATATTGGTGACCCTCAGTCCTGGGTTCTTATTGCGCTCCCCACTACCAGCTGTGAAACCTAGTTTCTCATCATTAACGAAGCACTAAGCCAATAATGAAACCCTGGTGGCATAGTGGTTAAGAGCTCGGCTGCTAACCAAAAGGTTGGCAGTTCCAATCCACCAGCCGCTCCTTGGAAATCCAATGTGGCTGTTCTACTCTGTCCTATAGGGTCCCTATGAGTCGGAATCGACTCGACAGGCAAGTGTAAGCCAACAACGGACTCAAACATACCAAGTACTGAGGATGGCGCAAGACGGGGCAAGGTTTCTTTCTGTTATACATAGTGTCCCTATGAGTAGGAATCGACTCAACGGCACCTAACAACAAGACCTCCCCCAGAGGATGGCTGTGAGAACAGAGGATCTGATGCCTAGACGAGCCGGCTCAGAACTAGCGCTCCGCTGATGGCGCAGCTGAGCGGACAATCCTTTCTAGGGAAAACACGCGTCTTGAGAGGTCCACACTCGGCGGAGGTGTCTGAGCACTGAACCAGGAGCCAAGCCTGGGCTCGGGCGCTAACCTCCGGCAGGCCCTCCCCTCCTCAACATTCTTGGGGCCTCAGATTCCCCTGTGGGGAAGGCGCAGACCACGTGCCACGCAGTGCACTCACCCGAGGCGCCCTGACCTACAGCGCAGGATGGCGGCCGGGAAAGAGGCGACGGTGCGGGAAGGTGCTAGAAGGTGCGGGACGTCGGGAAGAGGGCAGGGAAGTTTCATACAATGCAGGACGATAGGGACTATGCGGATTACGCACGACGACGGACGCACGCTCAGAAAATTCACCACCCTCTCAGCGTGGGCGGAGATACAGCCCGTAACGCGTACTGGGACCTAGAGCGCCATCTCCGCCGTCAGCAACCAACGCAAGCGGTCCTGCAGCGCCCCCTGGTGGAGAGAGCTGAAATTCTGACTTGACTTTTCGGGCCAAGTAGTTCAGATCCCGGCTGCTAACCAAAAAGGTTGGCGGTGGGAATCCACCGGCCGCTCCTTGGAAACCCTATGGTGCAGTTCTGCTCTGTCCTATAGGGCCGCTGTGAGTCGGAATCGACTCGACGGCAATGGTTTTTTTTTTTTTTTTCCTTGGTTTCATTCCCTCCTGTGGAGCCCTGGTGGCCAGGTGCTTAAAACGCTTGCCTGCTAACCAAAAGATCAGCAGTTGGAACCCCCTAGCCACTCTGGGAGAGAAGATGTGGCAGTCAGCTTCCATTAAGATTACGGCCTTGGAAACCCTATGAAGCAGTTCTGCTCTGTCCTATAGGATCGCTGTGAGTCAGAATTGACTGGACCGCAATGGATTTGGTTTAGTTTTTGGTTTAATTCCCTCCTATAGGGTCGCTATGAGTCTGAATCGACTAGATGGCAACGTGTTTGGTTTTTTTTGGAAGGAACCCTGGTGGCCAGTGGTTAGTGCTTGGCTGCTAACTGAAAGGTTGGTGGACTGAACCCACCAGCTGCTGAGTGGGAGAAAAATGTGGCAATTGGCTTCCATAAAGATTGCAGTCTTGGAAACCCTGTGGCACAGTTCTACCCTGTCCCATTATGACTTTGAGTCGAAAGCAACTCAACAACACACAGCAACAATTCCCTCCTTCATCCACCCACCCATCCATCCATGCTTCCATAATTCCACCCACCCATCCATCCATCCATTTATACAGATAACATTTATGAAACATCAGCTTCCTCGTCCATCTAATCATTCATCCACTGTTTCATCAAGTCACCTGTCCTCCCATCCATCCAAATATCAATCCTTTTCACAACCATACTTTCATCCGTTCTTCCATTTACCATTCATTCATCTTCCCATCAATCTGTTCACCTAGACTCCCATCCAACCAGAAAATCTTCATTGACCTTATAAATAGAGTAAAAGTAATGAAATAACAAAAGCAGAAAGTAAAATGGCAGAAAATGAACATAGTCTAATTTAAATCAACATAACCAAACAGTTTAGAAGGGAGAAAGGGGATGTAGTACAGACAGAGCACAGAGTAAAACATTAGTGAACAATATGCTTGACGTTTTGTCCATAAAATTTAAAACTTAGGTAAAATGAACACATTCCTAGAAAATATTTAACAATATTTCATTAAGGTAAAAGAGAAAACCTGAATAATCCTGTAACATTAAAAAAAAAAAATTGAATCAGTATTTAACAATCTTTCCACAAAGAAAACATCATACCTAGGTGGCTTTAGAGATGAGTTCTACAAAGGCTTTTTTTTTTTTAATTTTTTTAATTGTACTTTACATGCAGGTTTAAAGAACAAGTAAACAGTTAGTACACGTATTGTTTTATGATATTGGTTAACAATCCCACAGCATGTCAACGCTCTCCCTTCTCAACCTTGGATTCCCTATTACCAGCTTTCCTGTCCTCTCCTGCCTTCTAGTCCTTGTCCCTGGGCTGTTGTGCCCCTTTAGTCTCATTTTGTTTTGTGGAGCTGTCTCATCCTTGGTTGAACGGTGAACCTCGGGAGTGACTTTATTACTGAGCTGAGAGTGTGTCCAGGGGCCATACTCTCGGGGTTTCTCCAGTCTCTGTCAGGCCAGTAAGTCTGTGAGTTAGAATTTTGTTCTATGTTTTTTCTCCAGCTCTGTCCAAGACTCTTTGTTGTGATCCCTGTCAGAGCAGTCAGAGGTGGTAGGCAGGCACCATCTAGTTGTACTGGATTCAGTCTGGTGGAGGCCTTGGTAGTTGTGGTCCATTAATCCTTTGGACTAATCTTTCCCTTGTATCTTGTTTTCTTCATTCTGCCTTGCTCCTGAAGGGGTGAGACCAGTGTAGTATCTTAGATGGCTGCTCACAGGCTTTTAAGACCCCAGATGCTACTCACCAAGGTAGAATGTAGAACATTTTCTTTATGAACTGTGTTATGCCAATTGAGCTAGATGTTCCCCGAGACCATGGTCCCCACAGCCCTCCGCCCAGCAATTCAGTCCCTCAGGGAGTTTGGATTTGTCTATGGAGCTTCCATGACCTTTCCTTGTACAAATTGTGCTGGTTTCCCCAGTATTATGTACTGTCTTACTCTTCACCAAAGTTATCATTTATCTATTGTCTATTTAACATTCCCCACCCTGCCCCTCCTACCCCTGGTAAGCATCAAAGATTGTTTCTTTTTGGGTGTATATCTTTTCATGAGTTTTCTACAAAGCCTTTAAAGAATAGGTTATTTCAGCCTCACACAAAGTGTCCCAGGTAACAGAAAAAAGGGAACATCACCAGTTTACATAATAACCATGATTCCACAATTAGACAAGGTCAGTACTAGAAAAGTAAATTACGGGCCAATTCACTCATAAATATAGACATACACATCCTAAACAAAATATTGGCAAACTTCAGATGGAAATAGCCTCGGCCCAGGTGCCCTTGAAGAGCAACCATTGTGCTCCTGCCCTGGGAATACCTTCTGCACCCACTGCTGGCGATAGAGAGGTGGACATGAGCATGGGCAAATGGAAATCAACCACATCTTTATCAATAGCAACAGCTAGACAGAGGACCCAATTCCAATGAGGCCACCCTTGGGCTCCCTAAGACCTGCTGCCCCTTCCCTTCACCATTGGTGCAGGCAGACCTGCTGGGTGAGTTCACCAGGAAGGTGCCAGGTGCCTGAGTGAAGCTTGGGAATAGAAAATTTCCCCAAACTCCCCACTAGGGCTGCATGTCTGAAGTGCATCTTTTTGATTGGAGGGGATGTACTTGGGGCCAATTCCTTCCAGTTTGGTCCTAGGCAGAGGTGGGTTGGTGATTAGGTCTGCTTGGACCATGGCTCTCTCAGGAGTGGGCATGCAAGTCTTGAGGAAGCTCTAGGGGAAGGAGACCACCAGCTACTTGGAGCCACTGGTGGTCAAGACAGAAGAGTAACAGCAAAAATAGGGGGAACCCCTTGCTGACCCAATGAACTTTCTATTCATTCACTCAATACTTGGTGACTGAGCACCTCTGCTCTACCTGGCACTATACTAGGGGCTTAGAAACAGAACTGGGTTTGCCCAACAGATGTCTACCACAACCTGATTTTGCAGGAAACTAAAAAAGGAACAACAACACACAAAAAAAACTACTACTCAAACAACTAGAACAACTGTTCGGTTAATGATGTTTCCCCATAAAGGCACTTGAGAAGTTATACCACTTTTCTAACAGCTGCTTTTTTTTTTTTTTTTTTGGATATAATGACTAGGAGGTAAAGAAACAAATGAGAGAAATCCATCCAAGCTTATACTCTAATATAACAACTCACCATTGTCAAATAGGGTTGTCACATGAATGGAAGCGTGGTTTTATCTTAGGATTATCACATCAGGACGTCAAAAGTGTGGTAAATAAGAGAGTTTGGAGCAAGACAGAGGAACCCAAATGTTTTCTCCACCATACCTCGTTCATAAGTTAGTCTTTCTGAACCTCAGATTTTTCAGCTTTAAGCTAGGTAAAATAATACATTGAAATACAGTTCCAGAAGTGTTTTGCACAGTTGTTGGCTTCTAGTAAGCTAGTTGAATAAATTGTAGCTATCATCATCATCATTGGTAGACATTTGATATTTAATATGCATTCATGATCTTTAAAAATTATTAGCATGCCAGAAATAGCTATATGTCTTAATCCATCAACCAATTTCACTGATGAAATCATAGAAATATTCTTGTTTTTATCTTAGAAGGCCCAGATAATTAGCCAATACCCTTGGTCAGGAAAAGCCAAGGTGCTTAAGAGTGAAGAACTGATACGTGTTCAGCTGACATAGTGGAAGATAATAAACTAAAGTCAATTATCATTGTACTGAAATGCCCAGGTATTCAGCCAAGACAGTTACAATTCTCAGGTCAGAAAAGTTCAAGTAATTAGCCAGAAATATCGCATTTAGTTAACAAGGAAGGTCCAGAGAGGAGGAAGCCCAAGTTAATTAGCTGAGACCGGTCACACTTATCAGTGAGAAAGGTTGTTTTCTAGGCTTGTCCATCATCAATACACAGGCAAGTCCAGTGTCCCCGGCCCAGGTTATCAGTCTTTAGCCAGGACACTGGATCCCCAGGCTCAGCCCTGGTAGCCTTCTGAAGGGAGAGGACCACCTCTTCTCATGCCTCTCCTCACAGGAAGAGGACTGAGCCATTCATACCTTCACTGAGCCCCACACTGATCTCCTCTCTAGAGCCAGTGGCTGTCAGCTCAGGATAAAAATGAATTAGAAGCAAAATCAGTGACAGATAAACTATGGGGCTCAAGGGCCCAGCTAGGGGATCCTGCTGAGAGCCAAGTGGGAGCTGACCCTGGTGGGAGATGCCCCTGCCTCATCTCAGTCAGCCAGAGCATCTGAGGGGTCCTGGGACTGCTGGAGGCTCCCAACAGGCCAAGATTGAGGTCATGGGGTGGCTCAGGAAGAGCCCATCCAGTCTGAGAGGTCCTGGGGGGCTGGGCTGGCCAAGGCTTCCATTTGGCCTCAGTCCTATCCCACAGGAGGTGGAGCATAATACTGCCAAAAGATGCAGAAACAAAGGAGCCGTAAGCAGCAGAGGATGAAGATGGACGTATAAAACAAGGTCTCCTGCATGCTGATCATGCTTAGGTGGGATGCGGTCTGTAGCTCCTGCTGGCCTCATGTGGTCACTTGCTGTCGTCCTGCCTAGACCCTGGGCACCACCTCCGTGGAACAATCTGTCCAAGCAGCATGGATGCCATCTCCCCAAGAGACTCCAGGCTGAGGGGAACTCTCAGCCACTATGAGGTCACAAACTCCTGGGTGATGGAATTTTGGCCTCCCAGCAACAGCCTAGTCCTTTATTAATATAACTAACTAGTCATGTTGGAAAGCAGGACTCCTGGGGTATAATCTTAAAAGCAACATTTTCCCCTCATCTCCTTAGACGTGCTAAGTGGAAATATCTTTTCCCTGCCCCTAGAAAAACATCAAAGATCCCCAGTGGCACAATGGTTAAGCGCTCTGGTGCGAACCAAAAGCAGCCCTCGAGAGAAAAGAGCTGACAATTTGCTCTTGTAAAGATTCAGCCTTGGAAACCCTATGCGGGCAGTTCTACTATGTCCGATAGGGTTGCTGTAGGGTCCCTGTGAGTCGGGTTCAACATGACGGCACACAACTACAGCAACAACAGAAAAATAACAGGCAGTTCTCATAACTTTTCTCATCATTCTTAGGCCATAAAAATCACTGGCAATCACCAAACATGGGAAGCACAGTTTCCATTCAGTAAGTTAAAATGTTCAGTCTAATGTATGAATCAAGTCTTCCGTAATCATTCCCAGTTAAGAAGTCGCTCTTTTTAACCAGCTGGGGCCAAGCAGCAGAGGTGCTGCTGTCTTCTGGGGAGGGGACGTGAGCCTTCTGTCTTCGCTTCCCCAAATGTATTTCTCCTCACCAGGACGTTTCAGCCCACCCACTTATCCTCCGTCCCCCGGTACCTCCTGGACCAAAACAGTGAAAGTAAGACGCATGGAAGACTTCCTCCTTGACTGGTACTGTTGTAAGACGGCTGTGCCCTCTCCACGTGGGGCACATATTTAAGGCTGAGTCTTTCTCTCTTGGCTTCTTTCATGGGTTCTTTGGAGATTCCCCTGCTGATGCCCTTTAACTGCACCCCTAGTGATGTGCACAGGCTGTTTTCTTGTTATGACTTCTTATGGGCTGAGTTGTATCCCCCAGCAAGATATGCTGAAGTTCTAACTCCTGCTACCTGTGAATGGGACCTTGTTTGGAAATAGGGTTTGTGAAGAGGTTATCAGTTAACATGAGGTAATACTGGAGTAGGGTGGGTCCTAATCTAATGTAACTGGTGTCCTTATAAAAGGGGAGAAGAGACACAGACAGAGGGGAAAAAGGCCAGGTGAAGACAGAGGCAGAGATTGGAGTGATGGAGCTATAAGCCAAGGAATGCCAAGGATTGCCAGGAACCACCAGAAGCTAGGAAGAGGCAAGGAAGGATCTTCCCCTAGAGCCTTTGGAGAGAGCAAGGGCCTGCTGATACCTTGATTTTGGACTTCTAGCCTCCAGAACTGTGAGACAATAAATTTCTGTTTTAAGCCCCCCAGTTGGTGGTACTTTATTATGGCTGCCCTAGGAGACTAATATACCCCCCGACTCCATTTACTTTGTGGATGAAGTTTAGCAAAGCATTTGTCCCCCAACCCCCACCCACCTCTCCAGGCTCATTTCCTTCACCCTCTCACATTCCAGCCTCAGACTATTTGAACAATATTTTAGTCTGGTGATGTCGAAATAAATATACAGACAGAATTCATTCACTTGTTCAGCTGTGCCAGCCACTAAACTAGGTTCTATGACCACCGTGATGAATCGAACAGACAAGACCTCTATTGGTCTCTTGCAGAAAGAAGCCCAAACTAAATATAATCCATCTGAGCTCATTCTAGCAACAGCTCCTTTTACGGACGATTGTCCTTTATAGATTAACAACAAATCAGTGACCAAGGAACACCTTCAGAACAAATAAAACCAAAGCAAGGGAGTGAATGTTATCTCCAGCACACCAGGATGCTTTCTAAAATTATCCCAAGCCCTCCCCTAGGTAATGATTTCCTGAACTAACCTCCCTGGGTAGGCAGATTCAGGGGGTGGAAATATTTCCATGTAAGCAAACACCTATTGCCCTGTTGCTTAGCCCAGTGCCTGATATGAAGTAAAGTCTCCATAAATGTTTTCTGGGTAAGTGGATGGATGGGTGGGTGCAATGATGGGAGGTTGGATGGATGGATGGATGGATGGATGGATGGATGGATGGATGGGTGGATGGATGGATGCTTGCATGAGGGAGGGAATTAGTGGCCTGCAAAGTCGAGTGGGAGTCCTTAGGTGGTGTAAATGGTTAGCACACTTGGCTGCTAACCCAAAGGTTGGCAGTTTGAGTCCACCCAGAGGTGCCTCGGAAGAAAGGCCTGGCGATCTACTTCCGAAAAATCAGCCACTGAAAACCCTGTGGAGCACAGCTGTATTCTGACACACGGGGTCCCCATGTGTAGTAATCAACTAGAAGACAACTGGTCATGTTAAAGTTGAGTGGTAATTTCAGCTCCAGTCCATCAGGCGGTGCTGCAGGGCAGCTTGCGCAGGTTTCCTGGCGGAGGCCTCTCTTTAGGCCGCAGCCTGCGCCCTGGGCAGCATTTCCGCCGACGCTGAACGAGAGGAGAGGGTTTACCTGGGTGTGTAGCGGCATACTCTTGCTGTCCACGCCATCCGGCTTTATTTCCTGACATCTTCCGACATCCGTCACCTTCTTGCACTTTCCCGCGCCATCCCCTCTCTCCTCACAGTCACCCCGCGCTGCCGGTTCGGGCTCCAGGTGAGTGCACTGCGGGGCGCGCTGGGCCCGTGGTCTGCGCCTCCCCAGTAGGGATAACTGAGGCCGCGAGAGGGTTAGGGAAGGAAGTGCCTGCTGGAAGTCAGCGCCGGAGCCCAAGCCTGCCTCCGAGTTTAAAGCTCCGTCCCAACCGCCAGGTGCGGACTTCTCAGACTCGCGTTTCCTCGAGAAAGAGGATTGCCAGGTAGGTAGCGATATAGGCCGACATCGGCCGAGCGCTCGTTCCGAGCCAGCCGGGTCTTGGCTGTCAGATCCCCTGTCTTCACCGGCACCCTTTGGGGAGGGGCTTGTTAGTTGCCGTCGAGTCAGTTCCGACTCATGGCGACCACACGTGCAGAGCAGAACTCCATAGGGTTTTCAGGGCTATGATCTTTTGGAAACGGATCGCCAGGCTTGTCTTCCCAGGCACCTCTGGATGGGTTCCAAAAGCCAACCTTTGGGTTAGTAGTCGTGCTTAGCCATTTGCGCCATCCAGGGACCGCATTAATGATGAGCTGCTTGTGGAGCCACGATCATGATCACCTTGCTTGGAGGGCTTCCTTCCCCCAAGCTTTCTCTGCTTTCCCATCTCCCCTCCCTACACCCTCAGCTCGCCTCTCAGCACCTATCACTCCACGGAAATAGTTTGTCTCCTAGTCCTTTTTGCTATGATCTTCTCGAGGGCAGTGGCCAAGTTTTGTGTCTCGCTTTGTTCAGTGCCTGCCAGGCGTTAGAGCGTTCTGTCATTGTGGAACAAATGGAAAACAAATGGAACAAATGAGAAACAGGCCCAGCGACGCCTGTGCCTGAGGTCCCCCAGGGAGTCCTGCGGAGCCCAGTTTGAACCCCCAGCCTGAGGGAGACAAACAAAAAAAAGAAACCAGACCCATTGCTGGAGAGTCTACTCCAACTCATAGCGACCCTACAGAACAGAGTAAAACTGCCCTGTAGGGTTTCCAAGGAGCGGCTGGTGGATTCAAACTGCCGACCTTTTGGTTAGCAGCCAAATGTTTAACTACTATGCCACCATGGGCCTACTTCTGACTCAGAGAGACCCTATAGAACAGTAAAACTGCACCATTGTGTTTTCAAGGAGTGGCTAGTGGGTTTGAAGCACCAACCTTTTGGTTAGCAGCATAGCTTTTAACCACTGCGCCACCAGGGCTTCAAGGGAGAGCAAGGTGCCTGTGATTTTCACGACTGCTGTGGACCTCCGATTCCTGGCATTTTAAGCCCTCAAAGCTACTTGTTGATTGCCTGCAAAGTGTCGGGCATTGTGCCATGTCCTTTCAACCGTTAGTTCATTTTCCTCTCAGTAATCCTTAGAGGTAAGTAAGCATTAAAACTCTTTGTATAGACCACTTGGCTGAGGTTTAAATTCAGTGCACTCCCTGAACCCCAGAGGGACAGAGTCTATTCTTGTTCCCATGCTTTGCTCTAAAGCCCCCTTTCCTTTCCCTAGGTCATGCTGGACTCTGGGAGGCTCTTGCAGACCAATGAAGACTCTCCCTTGGATGGCTTTGCTGGCTCTGCACCAGCCAGCGCCCCCTTCTCTCCTGCAGGACCTGATCTGCACCTCCAGACACACTCCCACTCTCCTAGTGGTGAGGATGTCCCCTGGGTAAGTGCTGTTGGTCCAGGGGCTTGTTGACTCCCAGCCTGGCACGGGCGGAGTGGGTCGTCTCCAAGCCCGGTGCAAAGCCCTTGTGTGACAGTGTAGGTGGAAACCTGTAGATAGGGGGCTAAGTCTGGGGCCAGAAACACCCAAGTTCAGATCCTGCCTCAGTCACTCATTAGCCCTGTAATCTTGGGCACGCTAGTTTGTTCTCCTGAGCTTTAGTTTCCTTGAAGGCTAACTGCAAAAGCTCTGTGAGGGCAGACCTTGTCTGAATTTTTGTTTTTTTTTTAAATCCACAGTGCTTGACACATAGTAGGTACACAGTAAATATTTGGGGGGATGACCAGTTTAGGCATTCTTGTCAGATGTTGGCCTTTTCTGTAGACTGTGTCAGTGGGAGCAGTTGGGATCTTTATATGGAGCCGTGGGAGCTCCTAGGGTCCTAGGCTCAGCTGGGCTGCTTCCCCCTGCTTGGGTGGCAGCAGGACGCTGGCACTGGCCTCACTTCCTGGCGTACCCTCTGTCCATTTTTGCCTCTGCATAGGAAAGTGACCCTGGGCTGCCCGTGTCCCGGTCATTGATAGTGCTGGGAGAGGAATTGTTTGGAGGGTCCACTCCTGTCCCTTCCAGACCGTGAAGCTTTTTCACATTTTCTCCTCCCCACCACCGTTGAGATACCTCCTGGTGCCTGGCATCACCTGGTCTGTTGAGCGCCTCTTCTGCCCAGCCCAGTGCAGGTCATTGTGTGAGACACAGGAAACAGGCCCTGCCTCGGGGAGTACACAGGCTGCTTGTGGAGCCACGATCGGGGTCACCTGGCTCCAGGGGCTCCCTCCGGCAAATTTCCTCTGCTTCCCTATCTCCCCTCCCCACACCCTCAGCTCCCACCTCTCAGCACCTATCGCTCCACAGAAATTGTTTCTTGTCTCCTAGCCCTCTTTGCTGTGATCTTGAGGGCAGTGTCTGAGTTTTGTGTCTTGTTTTGCCTGGTACCTGCCAGGTGGTAGAGTGTTCCGTCAGTGTGCTACAAATGGAAAACAAGAAAGGGAGCCACCCTTCGTTGTGAGGAGTTAGGGCTCATTGCATTGTGCAGTATCCAGGGGAAAATACTTTTCCCGGTGTGAGGGTGAGGGAGAGGCAGCTTTTGTGTTTTCCTCCTCTTCAAGGAATTTTTCAACAAATGACCCAATTCATTCATGACCTGCCCGGGGTCCTGGTCTCAGGTGGCCACTTGGCATGGGATGGTCCACAGTTCACTGGGGGATGGTTTTTCCTGTAACCTGTTGGTAAGGTGGTAAGGACCAGAGGTGGGCAGAGCAGAATATAATCAAGGATTTATCAATGCATCCCCTATGCGGCAGGTGGCAGACCTCAGGGCCTGCTGTCACCCATGACCTCTCCCAGGTCCGTGCCTGATGCTGCTAGAGAATCAGGGCACACACCCAAGGCTACCCCCAAAATACCACTTATTAACAGTTGGCATGTAAAGTAATCCAGAGATGTCATTCTGCCTTAGAAGATCTCCAGCTGAGTCAGCATTTCCACAGCACTTGTCTGTCAGCTCCTGTGCCTCCCAGGACCTGCTGCGAGCTGGGAGTGATCAACTGTCATTCATGACTTCTCGGCTATGGCAGACGGGTCCCCCTTGTGCCGAGAGGCTTCAGGAGAGGTGGCATTGTGCAGGAGAACACCAGGCCCCAGGGCCCAAGGTGAGGTTTCTGGCCCATTCTCTGGAGTTTCGGATGGTTGCACCCTATAGAGTGATCTTCCCTTTATCTGGTGTTTTAGGCGACGTTAAGTGAGGTGAGGATGCGATGAAGGGTGATGTCCACAGGTTGCATCTGCCCCCTGCCCCACCACGTGCCTGCAAGGCTGCTGCTGAGGAGGGGCCTCCAGGGCCCTGTGTGGGGCAGCAGCTCTAGGGCTCTGCCAGTATTGGTGCGTCAGTGGCAGCGAGTTGTAATGGAAAGGGGGATGGATTTAGGTGTCAGAGGTCTCTCCGTAACTGGGTCTTAATTCCTCCTCTATTACTATCTAGCTCTGTGACTTTATCATTTACTTATCTTTTGGAGTTGTGTTCATGGTTAAGATTTATTACAGCAATAGAGTAAGGATGAGCATCCACAGCCAGATCATAAGTGGGAAAGACGCAGGTGGAGTCTGGAGGAATCCACACGTAAGGTTGTGCTCCTTCCCCTCCTCCCCCATGACATGTCACACAGCCCAGTCCTCCCGCAGCATTGAAAATGCAACAACTTGTGTGTGATGTTTCTGCCCAGGCAGTCCATTAGAGACCCCGTGCCCAGGGTTTTTCTTGGGGACAGATCATGTAGGCTTCTCTGTCTGGCATGTTCCAAAATCCCAGGAGTAAAGCAAGTGTTGAATCTGAACCACGTTGTTTGCACAAATAGTCTAGGCCCAGTGAACTGCCTATAGACTGGGAACACCCCAAGAGCCAAGTTCCCAGACACAGCCGGGGGCCACTCTGTGACCTGTTCCGAAGCACAGTTCCTGGTGTGGAAAATAAAGCTTTGGCAATGATTTTTATTGACATGACCACATGATCCTGATCTCCAGCCCCAAACTTTTTCCAGCGTTTTTGCCAGAGGTGTCTTTCCGTTGGTTCCTCTTGGCGGTAAGGTTTCGTGGGGTCTTTGCAGGACACCATGGCAGCTGCTGGAGCCCTGTGCTCTTCCTGACTTGGGCCTTTCTCCAGGCCCCTGGCATCAGCCCCTCTTCCTCCCTGGCTGTCCCTCTGTCCTTCTGCTCCTGCATTTGAAAGTGATTGTGGGCTGCCTGTGCCATGGTCATTGATAGTGCAGGGAGAGGAATCACTGAAAGACATTTCCCCGTGTTTGGAGGGTCCACCCAATGCCTTCCGAACCCTGGAACTTTCATACAGCCCTGCTTCTCTTCTGCCAACCCATTTAGGGACCCTGTGCTTCTGGGCTGCCACGTGAGAGTCAGTGCCAGGGTCTTTCTCGGCCTGGCCTCCTCTTTCCAGAAAGCAGGATGTCTGTGTGTATTGAGAGGTTTGTTGCCCAGCACAGGGTCATTACTGTCAGGGACGGCTCAGAGTTCTAGAGCCTTAGTCCTGCTCATAGATGGGAATGTTCTCTTTAAGGAGTCTCAGTGAATTCTGGTGAACAGCTCATCTATAAATAAGTGCTATAGTGGGTGCATTCAGCTTTTCATTCTTCTGCCATTTGTCCTGGCCTTCAGGCGCTCCACTTAGAATGGCTGGGCCTTCAGGCCGGCCCCGGAGAAATGGCCCAAGTTATAAGATTCCAAATGAAACTAGAGAGGGAAGATCAAAGGGAAGCCATTGGTACAACCATCCTTTATGCCTTCCCTTTCCTTCAGTTTAGAGGGGTTTTTTTTTTCCTTCTGTGGCCCATCTTGGGTAGTTGAAAATGTTACAAGAAATGACGTGTGTGGCTTCTTCTCAGTGCAGGATTGTCAGCTGGTTGCTGTCCTGGTACCCAGGGGCCCCGTGAGTGATGTCTTCAAGGAGAGGCTGGACCATGATGCTTGGAAGGTAGGAATCCTGGGTGCTTCTCCAGAGCTGCCAGACCAGAGGCCCTTAGGTCCTGTGGTGAGGGGAGGTGGTGGCTGCTGCCCACTTCCCACCCCTGCACAGAGCCCAGCAGGGGCTTCACAATGCTGAAGCCCACCTGTGCTTACCTAGCCCCCCTTGTGTTCTGAGAGGTCTTTGGGGGAAGCATGTGTCCCTCATGTTTATTAGGACGGGCAGCAGGTTGTTGAAATGGAAAGAGGGGTAGAGTTCGGAGTCTGGCGATTAGCTGTTGATTAGCTGAATGGTTTTCTCTTGTAAAGTGATTTGTAATATTATCACACAATCCCAGACCCAGTGAGCTCTCAACATTTCCGCCAAAAGTTAGTCTTCCCTCTTATTTTCTTAGCAGGGAAGAATTAGAGCAGTTGTTCCCAAATGCGGTACCTGGACCAGCAGATCAGCCTTGCCTGGGAACTTAAGAAATTAAGAAATGCAAGTTCTCAGGCCCCACCCCAGCACTACTAAATCAGAAATTCTGGGCCTGGGCCCAGCAGTCTGGCTGAACAAAGCCTCCGGGTGATTCTTAGTCACACCCAAGTTTCAGCAGCACAGCAGTAGAGAACCCGAGGCAGCTGCTGGAATCACAGACCATCACTCTGGCCACTGACTTGTCTCCTGTCTCTCTTCCCAGCTGGGGCCACTTCCTAGACTGCTGGCTTGGCCCCTCTTCCTGGCTGGCTCTCTGCCCTTTTCTGCCCCTGCATTCGAAAGTGACCCTGGGCTGCCGTGTCCTGGTCATTGGTAGTGCAGGGAGAGGAATTGCCGAAAGCATTTCCTGTGTTTGGAGGGTCCACTCCTGTCCCTTCCAAACCCTGGAGCTTTCCTACACATCTTTCTTCTCCCAGCTCCTGGTACCTGGTGCTGTGTGGTTTATTGAGTGCCCTTCTGCCCAGCATGGTGGAGCATGGGCCCTGCCTCAGGAGTTTATAGGCTGATTGTGGAGCCATGATGATGTGGGTCCCCCTCCTTGTAGGGCTTTCCTCCTGGAAGCTCCCTCTGTCTCCCCATTACACCCCTTCCCATGGCCTCAGCCCTGCCTTCAGCACTAATCACAACATCTGTTGTTTTCTGTTTTATTTTTGATCATTGCCATGCTAGTGGGGTGAGGTGGCATCTCATTGTACTTTTGATTTGCATATTTAATGGCTAATTATGGTGAGCATCTTTCCATGTGCTTGTTGGCTATTTGAATATCCTCTTCGGTGAAATACCCTGTTGAGTTCCTTTGCCCATTTTTTTTATTGGGTTGTTTGTCTTTTGTTGTTAAGTTGCTGGCATACTTTTAACATACACTGAGTAGCAACAAATGATCGAGTTGGTAATTAAAAAAAAAAAAAAACCCATTGTCATTGAGTTGATTTCAACTCAGTGACCCTATAGAACAGAGTAGAACTGCCCTTAAGGGTTTCCAAGGCTGTAATCTTTATGGAAGCAAACTGCCACATCTTTCTCTTGAAGAGCAGCTGATGGGTTTGAACTGCTGCCCTTTTGGTTAGCAGCCAACGCTTTACAGCTGTGCCACCAGGGCTCCTTGATAAGGTAATGCCTGTGTTAATCCTGCCACAGATGATCTGCAGACCCCTTCTTAAGTTAAACTTCTTGTTCCTGAGAAGCTAGTGTGGCAGTTCAGGTACGAATAGTAACAGCCAACCTTTGTGGAAAGCTTATTACCTGCCAGCCACTGGGCCAAGTGCCTGCTCTGTACCTCCCAGGGCCTGCTGCGGGTGTGACAGGCTGGCTGCTCATTCACGGCTTGTCTTGCAGATGGGTGTGCCCTGTGCATGGGTGGAGGCTCCATGAGTGGTGCCATCTTCATATCAGCAGGAAGCCAGACCACAGTACCCAAGGTAAGATTTTTGGGCCCTTGTCTGGAATTTTCTTTTTTGCATCCTGTAAAGTCACGTGCATGTTCCCTGTGGCTTTGGATGAGTATGGAAGGGGAAGTGAGGTCAGAGTTACATCCCGTTCATCCTCAGTTTTGTCCCCGCTGTGGGGCAATTCCTTACATGCCTTCAGCAGCTGCTGCAGTGGAGGTGCCTCCAGAAATCTGCTTGGATAAAGAGAGCTGCTCCCTGGGGCATCCCCCTTCCTTCCAGGTAATGGGGTGTCAGCAACAGCATGTTATAACAGAGTGGAATGATGCCAGTCCTCCCAAAACTCTAGTTTCGTGACCTGTTCAACCATCTTTTCCCCATCTGAAGAGCAAAGCAACAATAGCAGTGAGGTTTTTTCGGTGGTGTTACAAACACAGGATCCTGATCTTTTCCAACCCAAAACCATTTCCGGTTTGTTATGCTGGAAGTGTCTTTTGACTCTTCCCGGCAGGGAGGTTTTATGGGGTCTTTGCAGGACACAGTGGCTGCTGGAGTCTTGCACTTACCTTGTACTTACCTCTGGCCATTCCCTGGCCCCTGGCATCAGCCCCTCTTCCTTCCTGGCTGTCCCTCTGCTCTTCTGCACCTGCATTCAAAAGTGATCATGGGCTGCCTGTGCTCTGGTCATTGATAGTGCAGGGAGAGGAATCGCTGAAAGATATTTCCCCGTGTTTGGAGGGTCCACCTTGTCCCTTCTGAACCCTGGAACTTTCACACACCCCAGCTGTTTTCCTGCTACCCCTTCAGAGTTGGGCCCCATGTGATATGGTGATGGGCTAGCTCCCCAACTTGTGGGGGGATCACTTGGTCTTTTTCAAGCTCCTCTTGTCAGAAACCCGTCTATGCATTTGTATTTGGACCCTTGCAGGTATAAATTCAACTAATACTTAAAGGGCACATGTGAGAATTGTAGATCGTAGGTTCTGCTCTGAGATTTACGGGAGTGGGGAATAATTCCTATGCCGTATCGTTCAAGATAGTCCGTGACTTCAAAACCTGCTGTATGTTGTCTCTGCTCTTTTACTCTGTTTCTTGAGCACATGAAATTTGCATTGCTTCTTCAGGAGCTGTCAGTCAGTAGTGTTGAATAAATGGAGAGAGAAAAATAAAGATGGAGGCCAGCACTGGGGCGAAGAGGGGCTCTTATCAATTCTGAATCGTTTAAAAAAAAAAAAAAATTCACTCGGTCACAGTCTTCCAGAAGCTCAAGGGGATTCTTGTCAGTCATTGATGGTAGAAGGGCGCACTCACTGATTAACCTCGGTTTGTTGCCTGCGCTTCACGGGCTTTTCGTCTGTTCTTTTGTGGCTCCTCTTTTGAATGGGGGGTGACCCTGGGGGTTCAGTACTTGAAACTGGCGGCTCCAGACTCCTGTCCCTCTTCTAGACTTCTTACTTGTTCATGTGGGTAAGCAAATTGTGCTGCTAACTGGACACCCCAATGTGTTGTCAGCCCCTATGCCTGGCTTTCCTACTGTGTGCCAGGCACCTAACGAGTCTTGCCAGAAGTCCATTTTCCAGCTGCCTCTCCTTGCTCGATCATGTTGAATGGATCTTTGTAAAATAGAACAACAGCTGCTGGGTCCTTGTGATAGGCTAGGCAGACCAATGATGACAGGATGGTGGGATACTGCTGAGGGTGGTGGTCCATCCCTTCGATTGAGATGCAGCAGAACCTGTGTTGAAGCCCCTGACTGTCTGTGCTGAGCTGCCTTCCTGTAGGTTATTATTCTTACCTGGTCACTTGCCCTGGTCATGAGCTGTTTGAAAGAACATTTATTGTAATAACTGGATTTTTAAGATGTTTTTCCTCTTCAGCCCTTTGTTGGGTGTATCCAGAGTGCTGTATGAGACTAATTTGGTGCATAAATTTACAGGAGTGGGAATAATTTGTATGAATTATGCCAGGAGCTTAGGCTTGGTTGATTGGGACCCTCTCTGTGATGTCAGCTTGGGGAGAAGATGGTTTGGAGACTAAATTCTTGTGTGCTTCCTCACCCTCCTAGGTCTCAGCCTTAAATCTGGAGATTGTCAAAGGAAGTAGACTGTGGAGTCGGTGACCCTGGGGATGACTTGGGATTTGGGTTTGCCTGATATTTCTCATCATGGTGAGTTAATGACAAGGAGCAAAACCCAAAGCCAGACGCTCAAGTGGATTGTTTATGGAGATCCCAACCCAAACCGCTGGTCTCACCTGTCCTCTGTTTTAGATTCTTTTCAGTGGTGTGTGTGGACAGCAGAGAATGGAGAGTGAATTTGCCACAGGAAGCAGCACCATTGCTCCTTCTGCCTGCTCAGAGCATCATGGAACAACTGTCCACTCTGGGCAAGACAGGAGAGGGAAAGCGCAGAGACCGTGGGCTTGGGGTCCAGACATTGGAGGCTTTTCAGCTGGCTCTGGGTCTTGACAACAGTGCCACAGAGGGCCATGGACAAGGAACACCGGCCCCAGTGTCCTGCTGCCCATACCTGGAGTGACTTTTAATAAGCAGGAGTTTTTCTCTTGAATTTGTGCCCCGTTAATCACTGTCCTCTCCTGCTACCCATCCAATAAACCTTCTCAATAACCCTTACAAATTGCTCCACCTGCTTTTTAAATCAGTAAAAACCCACATGTCAGCAAGGCTGGGCATGGAGAAAGTGGGTCAAGGCCAGGCCTTGTTTTCACTCCTTGAGCCTTTCCAGAGGCTTGGCACATGGTGTACAATTAGGAGGAGGTAAACAAGTGCCATTAGTTGGCTCAGATTTAGGGCCCATGAGAGCTGAAGTTGGGTAAGACTGTGGAAGGGTGGCCAGTGATGGGGTAGACTTTAGATGAGGCAGAGTCTAAAGTCACTGGGGAAGGCTGGAGTGCCCTGGAGTTCTGGGAGCAGGGTGGCCAACCATTCTGTTTGCATATGACTGAAGGGATTCCCTGGATGTGGGATATTTAGTGTTAAAACCAGGAAAATCCTGGGCAAATAAATGGACAAGTTGGTCAGCCTACCTGGGAGGTAAAAATGCATGGTGTCATTTTAAGACCTACTCAAGGACCATCCTCTGACTTCTCTTGGCCAGCTTCAGTCAGCTGGTTTTAGCTGCCTGAAGAGGTGCCAGGAGGAGCAATTGGGTCACTTGAGAAAGCTGTGACAGATGACTAATGTCTGCTGGTATGGAGGGATGCAGGTAGCAGCAGAGCTTATCCCAGGATTTAAGAAGTGTGCGTGTTTAAGAAGTGTGCACCAGGTTATCATGCCTCTCTTACTGTTGTGGCCTATACAGGAGCCATCCCAGGTCTTCTTCGGGGCCTGAGGAAACCTGAGAAGGGCATTACAACCAAGGTGCCTTAAGAACCAGGATTAAGGTCAAGGCCGCATGATTCTTGCTGGGCAACCCATGTCCATTCCCAGAGGGCCTGGTAAGCAGCTGGTGGGAGATGGAGAATGGAGAGCTTGGGCAGAATGATGGTTTATATGCCCAAAAAACCTTGAGAGCCTCCAAAACAGCCCTAAAATTATTTAGTTTTTGTAACTGCAGGATTGCTATTGCTGGAAATCAAATACAAAATTGTGCAGGTTGCTGAATCACAGCTGCAGTATGACCTTGAGAGAGAGATTGTTTCCTTTTAACTTTGCCGCTGGCTTTCTTTGAGTCTGTTATCCCAGTCTGAACAATGGCTGAGCTGATTTTGAGCTTTCTTAATCTGAGTTGACTTTTATTCAGTCCTGAGTTGGGATGAAATCACCCTGTGGGAAAGAGGAAATGTGTCCCAAAGGCCATGATGGAAGGGTGGAGTTAATTGTTCCTTTTCTGTCTCAGATTTTCACCATTGTCCTGTTTCTGCTGATCAAAATGATTCTTGAGAACATAGTCTGTAGTTAGAGTAAAGTCAGTTCTTCACATTCCTTTTGTTTGTGTGTGTGTGTAGTGAAAATATATACAACAAAACATATGGGAATTTAAGTTTCCACATATATAGTTCAGTGACGTTGATTACATTCTTCAAGGTGTGTAACCATGCTCACTGTCCTTTTCCAAATCATTCCACCATTAACATAAACTCAGCGCCCCTAAGTAAAAACAACCCTTTCCTTCCCCCCTGCCCCCCACCTTTAGTAACCACTAATAATCTTTGGTGTCTATACATTTACTTATTTCATATAAGTGAAATTATACAGTATTTGTCCTTGCGGCATGCATGAGGACTTCATCTCTCCCTATGGCTGAGTATTCCGGTGTACATATATATCACAGTTATCTATTAATCTGTTGATGGACATTTCAGTTGTTTCTCCATTTTGGCTATTGTGAAAAGTGCTGCAATGAACATTGGTGTACAGGTTTCATTCCTGCTTCTGGGGCTATACCTAGGACTGGGATTGCTGGGTTCCCATTGATTGTAAAATGAACAGTTGAATCATCTGAATGACAGTGGCTGCCTAGGAGCATTTATGACTAGAGATGACACATTTGAGCACTCAGTTTGTTCATCTTGGGCAGAATCTGTCCACTTCCTGTAGTCTTTTGCTTGTTCTAGTGGTCTTGGATAGAAGCTAATTCTTTCATACATTTATTGGCTTCAGGAGGAGAGATCTGTGGCTGGGACAATACTCCAGGGATTTGAGGATGGGTTGTATCCTGAATTGAGAGATGCTTGATCAACATCCTCAAGTTTTTACTGCTGTTATTAATAGCAGCCAGAAAGGCCCTTTCCACTGAGGTTTGAGGGTAGTCTTTGATGTCTGTTTAGGAGAAGATCTGGGTTTTAAATCATAAAGGGGTTGTTTCAAAGGTTGATGTGGGAATACTTGCATGTTATAAAACTGTGTTATAAACAAGTTGTAATATTTATCAGCTTGTTTAATAGGGCAGAGTCTGGGAGTGGGCTGATATTCACAGACATGCTGGCGATGGATTCCTGAGAGAGTTGGACCTCATTGTCGTTAAGAGACCGAAAGCAACACTTTAGGCCAAGGAAGTTCAATGATTTCTGAGTTTGTCTTAAGTCTGAAAAGTCCATCTGTCTTCTTTATTTTATTTTGAAATGTAAAAAATTATTACAGACAATATTTTAAACATCACAACAAAAGGTAAATGTGGGTTTTTAGAAAATAAAGAACTTTCTGTTAAAATGAATCAAGAGTATACCAGAAATATAGAGCTAACAGAGTATCTTGTTTATAAAAAGGAATCTGTTATCTAACGATCATTTTACAAGAAGAAAACCCAAATTACAATTTTATTCTTTTCGTGTAACAACCATGTAACAAATGTGCAGTATGAATAAATTCATTGAGCTAACTTTGTCAAAATTTTATAATATAGTTATTTTTTTTAAAAACTGTAGGTGTTAAAAGCCCAGGCTAAAAAATGTTTATTAAAGCCTTTACATTTATAGTATACCTTTAATTTGTCTTTATATATATATATATATATATATTTTACATATATCTATAAGTATTTATTTACAAGCATGTGTACACACACATCTTTGGTCAGGGTTGCTGTATTGCACAATTCCAGGAGGCACCATTCCGTTGTATTCTATGTCAATGGCAGCCCAGGAGTTCAATATAAATGGTGTCCCTGGAAGCTGTGCAACACAGTGGCCCTGCTAACTTGGCTGCATGTATATAAAATATCTCTGGAAGGAGACGAAGAATGGAGTGACATTGGTTGCCTGTGGGGAGGAGACCTAGGTGGCTTGGAACAGGTGTGAAGGGGATTTTTCACAATACAGCTATTGTGTTTTTTCAAATATTGTGCTCCCCAAATATTAAAAAAGAGTTGTAAAAGTAAATATACATGTAAAAGTAATATATAATCATGTTAGAGAATCTGGGAAATACAGGAAAGTATGAAAGAGAGAATTACAATTAAACATGATTTTCCAGCCTCTGGTTTTCTCTGTGTGTGTCTAGTAGAGTGTCTTGAAAGGTAGAATCGTGTAGGGCAACTACAGCCCACTGGCCAAATCTGGTCCACCACTTGTTTTTATAAGTAAAGTTTTATTGGAACACAGTCACACAGTTATGTATTGCCTGCGACTACTTTGCTGCTACAACAGCATAATTGAATAATGATAGAGACCATATGGTCTACAAAGCTGAAAAGATCTACTGTCTGTCCCCTTACCAAAAAGGTTTGTTGACCCCTGGTTAGGGAAAGAGCATGGGTTTTGGAGTGGGCTGAATCAGGGTTCAGGTCTCAGCTCCACTGATGACCGCTTGGTTGAGGGAAGATATAATGTGTATAAAATATCATCCCCAAGGACCTGGTCCATGGTGAGTGCTTTATAACTTACATCTGTTTATTTTTTGGGAGGGGTAACTTGGGATCACTATTTTGTTTGCAAAAGAAATGTTTATTGAGTCCACATCATTACAAAATTCCTCTCTGCATCAGTCTCTTTTTACAGGTGTACAACGTATTGACAGCAATTACAATAATCAGCTGTACAACCCTACCCTTAATGAGATTTTTCCATCACCAGAACCCGAAACTCAGTACTTCATAAGCAATAACGCCCCCCTTTTCGTCTCCCTCTGGCCCCTGGTAACTGCTAATAAACTTTGGTCTCTATACATTTGCCTGTTTTTGTTTTTATATAAGTGAAATAATATAATATTTGTGGTTTTGTGATTGACTTACTTCACTCCGCATAATGTCTTCAAGCACCAATCCATATTGTAGCATGTATCAAGACTTAATTTCTCTTACTGGCTGAGTAGTATTTCATTGTATGTATGTATCACATTTTGTTTATCCGTTCATCTTTTGATGGGCATTTAGGTTGTTTCCACCTTTCGGCTATTGTGAACGGTGCTGCAATGAACATTGATGTACAAATCTCCGAGCCTCTACTTTCAAGTCTTTTGAGTGTACACCTAGGAGTAGAATTTCTGGGTCATACAGTAGTTCTATTTTTTAGTTTTTGAGGAACTGCCACACTGTTTTCCACATTCGCTGTACCATTTTGCATTCCCACCAGCAATGGATAAGGGTTTCAATTTCCCCACATCCTCACCAATGTTTGTTATTTTCTGTGTTTTTTTTTTTTTTTTTTTAAATCTTAGCCAGCCTAGTAGAAGTGAAATGATATCTCGTGGTTTTGATTTGTATGTCTCTGATGGCTAATGATGTTGAGCATCTTTTCATGCATTTGGTGGGCATTTGAATGTCCTCTTTGGTGAAATGTCTATTCAAGCCATTTGCCCATTTTATGCTTGGGTTATTTGTCTTTTTATTGTTAAGTTGTCAAAACTTTATATATATTTTGGTTATTAGATTCTTATCAGGTGTATGGTTTCCGAAGATATTCTCCCAGTTGGTAGCTTGTCTTCACTTTTTTAGTAAAGTCTTTTGATGAACAAAAGTTTTAAATTTTTATGAGGTCCCATTTATTTATTTTGTCTTTTGCTGTTTGTGCTTTTGTTAATAGATAACTCCATTGTTAAAAGCTAGGCCTGTTAGCATTACCCCTGCATTTTCTAAGAATTTTCTGGTTTTAGTTTTCATATGTAGATCTGTAATCCATTTTGAATTTGTTATTGTGTATGGTGTGAGGCATGGATCTTCTTTCATTTTTCTACACGTGGAAATTTAATTTTCCCAGCACCATTTATTGAAGAGACTCTTCTTTCCCCATCAGATGGACTTATTACCTT